CCGGCGGTGGACCTGCAAGGCCGGCGGGAGTGCAAGGAAGCCCCGCGAAGGCCCTCCCTGGCCCCAGGCAGGCAGGGGTGGGGAGAGGCAGGGAGGAAGCAACTTACCCTCCCTCTTCTCCTGCCTCCTCCTGGCTGAATGAGGGCCGGAAGCGGGGCGGCCAGAAGCAGGGGGCGGGGCTTTGTCATGTGCCCCGCCCCCTGTACCTCACCCGGGGGAACTGCGATCCCCCGCGTTTCCCCCCGAAATGACCTCTGTACTGGACTGTAATCTAGCTCTAGAGCCATAATGGAGGCTCGAGCGGATTGTCCTTGGCTCAGTGGAAAAGCACACATTTTGTAAGCAGATCTCAGATTTCACGCCAGCATCTTCTTTTGCACAGTGGCCAACAGACAGGGCATAGGAATGGGATTCCTATTTCTCAGTCTCAGTCATCCCAATCAGAAGCTTGCTGTGTGTTTATTTACAAGAAGCAGGGTCGGTTTTGGTTAGTATTTTGAAAGGCAACCTCCAAGGAATACCAGGGTCGTGATGAGGACGCAGGCAATGGCAAACCACCTCTGAAATGTCTCTTGCCTTAAAAACAAGTCTAGCTTGCCACCTAGTGGTGCATAACACTAAAGAGCAAGAACATTTGCATGCCAGACAATCTTTGTATCTCCTGGCTATACTACACACAATGCCATACGATAATTATTATTATTACTTAGAAGTTGCTCCCAAGGAATTCAATGGGGTGCAATCTTGGGCATGCTTTCTGCATGAACTTAGTGAGAATTCTCTGAGTAATAATAGGGTGATGATAGTGACTGATTTTAGTGGAAAAGTGAAACAGCCCACTTGACAGCGCAGTCCTATGCAGAATCGCTCCAGTGTAAGTGTACTGACTCCAGTGGGTTTAGACTGGTATAATTCTGTATGGGAATTGCACTTCATTGCTCTCCCACTGCAATGAATGGAATTAAAAGGACGAAATGAACATGTGGGTTTTTTAAAAAATCATTTGCTATAAGTAAAGCCTTCTGAGACTAGGGTGCCCAACTAGCTAGAAACAAACAGACAGGTCTGCAGGGGATGGGGTTTCCAACCTTCAGGGGGGCCCTGGAGATCTCCTGAAATTCCAACTGATCTCCAGGTGACAGAGATGAGTTTCCCTGGAGCAAATGACTGGGTTGCAGCACGGACCCCATGGCATTAATTTTTAATTCTTAATGTTTTACATACTGTATTTGTTTTTATATTTGTTGTAAACCACCCAGAGAGCTTTGGCTACAGGCGATATAGAATAAATTATTATTAATTATTATTACACCCTGATAAGGTCCCTTCCCTTCTGAAACTCCACCCTCCAACAGGCTCCACCTCCAGAAATCGCCAGGCATGTCCTAACTAGGGTTGGCAACCTCCAGGTAGTGGCCGGAGACCTCTTGCTATTATACAAGTGAGATCCAGGTGACAGAGATCAATTCACCTGGAGAAAATGTCCACTTTGTAAAGTGCAATCTATAGCATTATACCCCATTGAAGTCCCTCCCCTCCCCCAGTCCCGCCCTCCCCATTCTCCACCACCCCCCCAATCTCCAGGTATTTCCCGACCCAATTCAGAGCTGGCAACCTCAGTCCTAACCCAGGTCTGCCAACCCTGCCAGGGGTATAATACCATGCAGTCCACTCTCCAAAGCGGCTACTTCCTCCAGGGAAAGTGAGCTCTGTGGCTGGCAGCTCAGGTGTGATTCTGGGAAATCTCCAGTCCCCACCTGGAGGTTGGCAACCCTAATGGAATCTCAGCATATTTCCTTTCAGAAATTACAGCACCGATGGTGATGGAAGGCAACAGGATGATTTCCTATCTTCTTTTTTCCTCCATTCCACGGTCCATCTTAATGCAATAACATCAGACCCATGTAGGATACACGCGTTTATCCATCCCAACTCTTTATGGAACATTCCTCGCCCCCCCCCTTCTCTCCCGATGGTTTATTCCGAGCCCTTTTCTTTTTCTATTCCCGGTACGTTCCAACTGTAGAACCTTTCGGGGGGGGGGCTTTATTCCTCCTTTCCCTCCCTTTCCTTTCTTTCACTTAGTACATTCCCGCCGAGTTGGCGGCTCAGGGCGCTTATCTCAACCGGGCGACTCCCCGCCGCGCACATCCTAATTCTCGAAAGGCTGCTGCGCCGTAGGTGACGCGGCCGCCGCCTTGGAAAGCCCGAGATCTACGCGAGGTTAACCTGCGCCGTTTCCGTAGATATCGCCGCTATTCTGCAACTCCGTTTACGCCAACGCGGGTTAAAACGCCCGGCGGTGGCGGCCCCGTTACGGAAATGACGCAAGGGAGGCCTCTTCCCCTTTCGCTCAGAGAGCCAGCCCTTTTCGCCCGCGTTATCTAGGTCTGGGCCGGTTCCTGCTAGCGGCGGCGAGAGGAGCTGGGCTCGCCTCGGAGAGCGGGATCCCCGGCTTGAGCCCTCTCGGGGAGGGCGGGAGGGAACGAAACCGCTAGGCCTCTCCTCCCTCAGCTGAGGTAAATGTGAGACCGCGCTTCTCTCCCCCCCCCTTCTCTTTTCCCACTCCGACCATGTTTACTCGGAAGTAAGCCCCGCCGCGGTCAACGGCGCTTACTCTCAAGAAAGGGCGCATCAAATTTCCCCTTCGTCCCCTCACAAGCCTCCCTGGCGCTCCATCCCTGCGGACAGGCGGACCTTTCCTCCTCCTCCTCCTCCTCCGAGGGGCGGGGCTGAGTACCCACTCACCTGGGGGGTTTTCTTTGCGCCCCCCCCCCCCCCCCCCAAAAAAAATTCGGTCGCTTTCCAAAATTCCGGAAAATAAACTGGGGCTTCCTCATCGTCTTTGAACATTCCCTGGGGGAAAAATAATAATTTGGGGGCTCCTTAGTTGTCCTGAGAGTCCCTGGAGAATAAATTGGAGGATCCCTAGCCATGTTTCAAATTCCCCTGGAAAATATATATATTTTCTGAGACTGGGGGGGCTTCATAATCACCTGTGAAAATTCCTTGGGGTACAATTTTGGGGGGAGCTCCCCAATCATCCTTGACAATTACTGGGGAATAATATCTGGGCTCCTTCAGTCTTTACAAATTCCTTGGAAAATAGTCGGGGGGCTCCATAACTGTCTGTGAAAATCCCCTGGAAAATAATTCGGAGGGGGCTCCCTAATCATCTGTGAAAATTACTGGAAAATAATATGCGGGCTCCTTAAATCTTTAAAAATCCCCTGGAAAATAGTGTGTGGGGGGCTCCCTAATCAGCTTTTAAAATTCCCTGGAAAATAATTTGGGGGATCCATAACGGTCTGTGAAAAATCCCTGGGGTATAAAAAATTTTTTTTTGGGGGGGGGGGTTCCGTTTTTGTCTTTGAAAATTACTGGGAAATAATATGTGGATGCCCTAAGACTTTAAAAATTCCCTGGAAAATAATTTGGGGGGCTGTTTACTAACCTTTGGAGTGAGGGGGAAAATAATCCTTGAGCGGAGCTCCGCAGGCTGGGGTAAAAATATGGCAACGTAATTGTCTTTGAAAATTACTGGGAATAATATGTGGATGCCTTAAGACTTTAAAAATCCCCTGGAAAATAATTTGGGGGGCTGTTTGGTAACCTTTGGTGTCTCTGGTGGGGGAAATAATCCTTGAGGGGGGCTCCGCAGGCTGGGGTAAAAATATGGCAGTACAAAATAGGGGTCAGCAACTGACCAAAGTGGACCCCCCTCCCTATCTGCTTTGAATCTCTTGCAAGAGACAGTCCTGATCAATTTCTTTTCTCTTTGCTCCCAGCCATCTTTGGCGTTTCTCTGGAGGAAAAAAACCCTGGAGTTTCCTAGTGATGTTTTCGAGATTCTCTGAAGATTCTTTGAAAAATAATTTTGAGGGTCCCTGATTACCTTTGGCCTCCAGAACCGTGTCCGAGAAACTGGGGCCTCTTTCCATAGCCAGGACTTGTCTGGGTTTACCTCCCCCTCAATGCCCATCTTTGGCCAGGGCGAAGACACCCTTTAGACCACATAGATAATACACATCCCGCAGCCTTAGCGTTGGCTTCAGAACGGCAGTCATGTGGCACAAGTCGGTGTGCGTGGCCTTGGTGGCCCTGGCAACCGGCTATGTCTTCTTGCTGGACCCTGATCTGCCGGACTCGGTGCTGGAATACGTCTCGGCCTCCTTCCTGTACCAGCTGCCCGTGTCCCCGGAAAGCAGCATGGCAGCTGCCTGGGACTCGCTCATCATCCAACCGGCCAAGCAGTGGAGCAGAGTTGCTGTTGGGTGAGTGAATGCGGGACTTACATTCTGTAATTACACTGATAATTGGCTGTTGGCTAATACTGAAATGGCCACTCTTGCTGTGGAGCAGTGGGTTGTGGTTTCTCTCCCTTGGGGGAGCCCTTTCCATGCCTGCTTATGTAGCAAGGAGCCCTGGCATGTTGGCCGTCCGATCCTGCTGTGTGCTGCTGGGCGTCATGGTTGCCCAGCCAGACTGTGCTCTAGAACAGTGGTTCTCAACTGGCATACCATTCATGGGACACAGAAGTATTCTAGCCGGGATGCAGGGTTTTCATAACAGTTACTAACCAATTCACTCTCGATCCCTGTGGGCACCTGCAAGTGTGACGTGCCATCTTCTGCCAACCCTGCCTGCCATGGATTATCTATTTGTGACCTTTCGATGTGCTCGTAGTAATATCAGAAAGCCCGTAAGCATAGATATGTCCTTCCTGGAAATAGTTGTCTTTTTGTTTCTATCGTGATGGGACCTAAGTTCTTTGACAGAGTGATGGGTGGGTAATAAGATACTGTAGCACAAATGCACGGGGCACAGATTTGTGCTACAATACCAAAGGCTGAGAACCACTGCTCTAGAACACGATATTCCCATGTCTGCACGTTGCAGGGAAGGTCAAGGCACATCTTTGAGGGAAGTTCATCCACCCCTATTGATTTTCTCATTGAGGAACTGTAGACTTTCCAGGAAGGTAGTTTGAAAACCCGGTTCTGCAGAGAGAGAGAGTTCTCTTCCTACTTGAATGGTGGTACTTATAAGCAGGAGTCTGCAGAGGCAGCACAGAAATACTCTAAATAAATAAGTTAGGGGGCCAAAAGATGAGATCCAGGAAATCCTGTGTTCTGCCACTTGACTCAGTCAAGCGTAGAACTTTCCTTCAGTGCAAGGAGCCGAGTCAAGTTGGTTGGATAGAAACCTGGTATCTTGGAATGCTAGACATGAGGCCTGGCTTCCTCATGTGATTGGCTTATAGCATGGTTGATCATGGAGGGAAAAGGAAGACCAAAAGTGTACTCTTCCTTGATGCATCGAGCAGTGTGGTTTCTGTTCCTTTCCAACAGAACCAGACGGACCATCAAGTTGCTTTCATAAACGTTACAGCATATTCTTAAGTCTGTAATATGACTGCACTCCAAAAAGTGGAGGAGGCCCATGGGAAAATAGGGTTGCCCTCAGGCCAGGTGATCTGTCAGGTGTCTCTTCAATAGAGGCTTCATGGGGTGTTAGTTACTGGGTGATGTTAATCAGTGCCATACCATGAACAAACTTCAACTGCCCATTTCCATACATTACACCAGTATTCAGGGGACAGGGATTTTTTTTTCCTGCAAACCAGTTGGCAATGCTGAATGTGTGTTCTTGATCAACTCTGAATTCTATTTAAATATGCAAAACAAAAAAAGGTGCGGAGGGGGGACTGTTCTCAGAACTGCTTGAGGAAAAAACGTTTCTAGGTCACAGGGTGTGTGTGATGTTCTTGTAACTAGGATGATCCAGCTTTTCTTGTATTGCATGATACTTAAGAGTTGGATATTTTATAAATATAGCCATCACCTGCTTCAGCTTGCCCCATCTTATGGTGGAGCTGATACAGTTAGGGCAGAAGAGGACAGTAGGTTGGGTGGAGTCAAGAGGGTTATCTCTACTCTTTGGGTATCCTGCATGTATACAGGTGTGGAAAAGCTCTTAAGTCCCTCAAATATGAAAAATCCAACCTTTGATAGATCAATGCCATACATAATTCCTTGCCATTTTCTTAACATAAAAGTTTTTATTTTATAACAGATAAACACACGCAAACAAACACATACATACAGAATTGTGGGTCCCATTTCCATCTTTGTTATATCTATTATAGTACCTCATACATTATCTAAGTATTATCCATTTCTTCCACCATGTATGTAAGTATTTTGCATTTTATTTGGCAGTGTAATTCCTTGCCATTTTCCATTGAATTCTATGCCGTGCTTGTACCCACTAAGATCGCAAGAAACGCTTTATTGAAATTTTGCCTAGTATAGGGAGGGGCCGTGGCTCAGTGGTAGAGCATCTCCCTGGCATGCAGAGGGTCCCAGGTTCAATCCCTGGCTGATCAGTTAAAAAAAGATCTTGCGGTATCTTGCATGTAAACTCCCGGATCTTCCGGGAGGTGGTGGTTAAGGTGTATTTTCGAGGGGGCAGTATGTCAGCTAGCTGCCATTGTCATTCCGGTTCCTGTGTAGTTCCCTTCAGCCCTCCCCCTCCTTCTTTTCTCTTTCAGTATGTTATGTTATGTAGTCGGCTGAACTTGCCAAGGTCGTGCAGCTGGGTGTAGGGGGAGAGCTTTGCCTAGAATGTTTTGGGTATCTTGCATGTGAACTGAACCTGTGTTGACATTTCAGAACGGTTGCGTTCCCATGCATTGGGCGCGAACTGTATGGTCTATTCCCGCCAGCGGGAATTGGACCCATTGGTCCTTCCCTGGTTCAAATGTCTTTATTATGCCTTCCCTGGTTACCTGTAGTTATTCCTAACAATGTCCTGTTCTGGTTACACCAACGCTTTGAAATAAACCTTACTTGCTTTGCAACGTGGAGTTGTTTTTTATGCTTGGGACCCAACACTGAGACCCTGGAGAGCTGCTGCTGCCAGTCTGAGAAGACCATGCTGACCCTGAAGGACCAAGGGAGCCTCAGGTGTTCATGTACACCTTGGGAGTTTGGTCAGTTTGCACCTCCTTTCTGCTTTCCCTTCTGCAGGGTCAATGCCTGCGTCGATGTGATCCTTTCGGGTGTGAAGTTGTTTCAGGCCCTCGGTCTAGATTCCGGAGACGGACGAGACCACTCGGTCTTGCATTCCATGGCGGATCTGAAAGAAGCCTTCGCCCACTACATGGGGAAGGGCGCTGCTGCGGAGCGGTTTT